AGCTTAAATGACCACGTTTGTGGTACGTCACCCTCAAACCGTACGCCTCTCTATATAAGCATGCCTTTGGGAAAATTTTGCTCACTTTTTCCATATAAGCTTCAGCAGCCCATCAGTACCCTTAATTCTCTTCCCCTCAGCAGCCAAAGGCAAGTGATTTTCCCTAAATTCTCCACAATCGCACGGCATAAGATTGAAGAACCATCGCACGGTGTTCACGCGAGGAGAGGTCGTTCATTTTCGAGTTCCCGTCGAGCGTTCAAGAAGGTAGACTCCTCTTCAGTTCATAGACTTGATGATTAGGTCATCTTGTAGTTAAGTGTTCGGATAAATTGCCGAAAATTTCTGATTTGATCATGAAAAAGCCGAACATATTTGAGTAGGGTTATGCCCGAACAAGTTTGAATTTTCCGGCAAAGTTCCGAGCATTTATTAGTTGTTCAGCCTCTAATTAAAGTATTATGTGCAATAGAGTGTAGTTGGTCGATGAAAAATCGAGGATTGCCGGTGAATTGGCCAAAGCCGTAGCTAGTGCCGATCGCACGTGGCTACGGACGGCCATGAGGCATGAGTTCATAAGCTGAGCATAAGCCATGAGCATTTATCGTGTATTTAGCCTTAATTCAGTTAATCATGTTCAGTCAAGAGAGTGTTGTCGTGTAAAAGTGAAGTTTTGCCGATGAAAAGGCCCCAGCCGGCATGTAATATCCCAAGATATTATCAGTATAAATTATGTTTAATTCCGATATAGTAACGTTATCGTTTATTAATTTCGAAATTAATTAAGTTCAGTCGGATTACCGAAATCTAATTTCGGCGTACCGTTTACGTCCGAAATAATTTTGGTAATTAGGTATTATGTTTAATTTAATAATTAAGCATAAATTGAGTGATTAATTAAATTTAATCACAAGTTAAGCATTCTTAACCCTAATTAGCCGTGAACATTGTGGGAAATTTTCCAAAAATCAATCAAAAATGCCGTACACTTCCCTTAAGCTTGAGGTAAGGTTAAATTAGCCAATTATATTGAGCAACTTGTCATCCATGCAAAGAGCTTAGTCATCAAGTGTGGCATAAGAGATGAACAAGTGTGAGAAGCCTAGCAAGGCCACGCCAACTACACATCATCACCACAATCGCACGGCTAAGTATAAAAGAGTACCTTAGGTGAAATTTTGGTCACTTTTCCTTATAGAACTCCGAGTACTCCTTCAGCATACATCTTCCCTTCCCTCAGCAACCAGTTCATCCAATTTTCCCTAAAATCGCTTCACAATCGCACGGCGATTCAAGGAGTTATCGCACGGCGGGTTTAAGGCCATTAGTACGCCATCTATTTTCCAGTTCAGTCGAACAATCAGTGAGGTATATCCCTCTTCTGGTTATAATCTTGTTAATAAGGTTATTTTAAAGGGTATTGCTCGGAGAATTTTCAAAATTCGTTAAGATGTTCAAGAAAAACCGTACTTAAGTCTATATATGTTATCACCGAACAAAGTTCAATTCTCTCCGACAAATTTCGAACCAAAGTCATTTATATGATCAGTTTAGTTGTTTTAAGTTCAGCATGATCGGTTTTGTTGGGTTAAGTTGTAGTATGGCCAATGAACGGGCCCTAGCCGGCGCCCCGCGCCTATCGCGCGTAGTTGGGTAGCCGCGGGCCGAGGCCTATTGTTTCAATGATCAATCGAGTTCTTCCGTGTGATTAGTCTTTAAACTGTCTCAGTTTATTATTCATGCTGAAGTGTTCGATAGTTGTCGGGTAATATGTAAGATCGGCCGAAGGACGGCACCTAGCCGTCGGCGGCGTTCGGGTGTTCGCCGCGGCCCTTGCATGTTCAGCATGTGTTCGGTGTACTTTCAGGTCATGTTCGATCAAGTTAATTATGTTAAGTTCAGTACAGTTAGATCGGACGATGTCCTTTCAGTTCGGCCGAGAGATGGCCGAGGGCCGTAGGCCTCGCGCATAGCGAGTGCGCCACGGCCGAGGGCTTCGGTTTTGAAGTCAAGTTCAGCCTTTGTTTGTTAAATTCAGTTTATTGTCCATTTTAAGTCAGAACATGTTAGTTGAAGTCAGTTCGGTCGAGTAGAGTTGCCGGGCGGTCGGCACGGAGCCGACTGTGGCCGCGCTGCCGCACCCAGCGGCAGCAGCGCCCCGGCCAGTG